GTATATGTATATGTATATGTAACATGAGGACTCCAAATTATATAAAACAAATTTTGGCAAAGGTGAAGCAAGAAAACATAGCAACATAATTGTAGAGATCAAGACCTTACTTGGAATAATATATAGAAAATTCAGATAAAAGATCAATAAGAAAACATAAAACAGACATTATAGATCATGTTAACTATTTTGCATATACAGGAATTCCTGAGTGTAAAACTTACGAAGAAAGAAGTTTTATTTGGCTCACAGTTCAGCAGACTGTACAAGAAGAATGTAACAGAATCTGCTTCTGGTGAAGGTCTCAGAAAACTTACAATCATGGTGGAAGACAAGGAGTAGCTGGACATATCACACGGTAAGAGACAGCAAGTGTGAGGTGAAGGAGCCAGTTTCTTTTTCTTTTTTTTTTTTTTTGAGACGGAGTTTCGCTCTTGTTACCCAGGCTGGAGTGCAATGGCGCGATCTTGGCTCACCGCAACCTCCGCCTCCTGGGTTCAGGCAATTCTCCTGCCTCAGCCTCCTGAGTAGCTGGGATTACAGGCACGTGCCACCATGCCCAGCTAATTTTTTTTGTATTTTTAGTAGAGACGGGGTTTCACCATGTAGACCAGGATGGTCTCGATCTCTTGACCTCGTGATCCACCCGCCTTGGCCTCCCAAAGTGCTGGGATTACAGGCTTGAGCCACTGCGCCCAGCTAGGAGCCAGTTTCTTTAAATGAACCAGCTGTCATTTGAATTAATGGAGAGAAAACTTCCTCATGACCAGAAGGGTAGTGCGAAGGCATTCATGAGGAATTGGCCCCAAGTACCTCTCGTCAGGTTTCACATCTGACATTGAGGATTACACTGTAGCATGAGGTTTACAAAACGTGGACAGCCAAACCATACCATAGACCAACTAGGCTTAACAGACATATACAGAACTTTTCAGTTAAAAGCAAGAAAGTACACAATATTCTTATTTGCACCTGATGTATTCTGTTAGGACACATAACACATCTTATTAAATAGCAGCTGGGTGTAGTGGTGATACCTACAAAGCCAATAATTTGGAAGATGAAGGTGAGAGGATCACTTGGGATCAGAAAACTGACACCAGCCTAATTAACACAGTGAGATTGTCACTAAAAATACTCAAAAAATTAGCGAGGCATGGTAGTGCATGTCTGCTGTCTCAGCTACACAGGAGGCTGATATGGAAAGATTACTTAAGGAGGCTGAGGTTGCAGCGAGTCAAAATTATGTCAATATTCTCCAGCCTGGGTGACAAATATAATCCTGTCTTGAAATGACAAATAAATTTAAGAAGACCAAAATCATTCATTGTGTGTTCTTTGACTGAAACCAAATGAAGCTATAAATTAAATGCAAAAGGCCGGGCAGTAGCTTGTGTCTGTAATACCAACACTTTGGAAGGCCCAGGCCGATGGATCACGAGGTCAAGAGATTGAGATCGTTCTGGTGAACAGGTGAAACCCTGTCTCTACTAAAATTACAAATATTTGCTGGGCATGGTGGCACGCACCTGTCATCCCAGCTACTCAGGAAGCTGAAGCAGGAGAATCACTTGTACCCAGGAGGCAGAGGTTGCAATGAGCCAAGATTGTGCCCAGAGAAATAAAGAAAAAAATTAAAAAGAAAAAAAAAGCAAAAGTGAAACTGGTAAATGCAAGAATACCTAAAAACACACATGTTGAGTGCGGTGGCTCAAAACTCCAGTACTAGCATTTTTGAAGGACAGGCAGGAAGTTTGCTTGAGCCCAGAAGTTCAAAACTAGCATGGAAAATGTAGGAAAACCCTGTCTCTAAAAAAACAGTTAAAAAAAAAAAAAAAAAAAAAAAAGACACGCTTCAACATATTTTTGCTCAAGGGTCAAAATTTTGTTAAGATGTCATTACAAACTATAATGGTAAACAAATTCAATATAAACTCCTTAAAAATCCAATAGTACTATTTCTTTTCTTTTTTGAGATAAAGTCTTGCTCTGTTGCCCAGGCTGCAGTGCAGTGGTGCAATCTCAGCTCACTGCAACCTCTGCCTCTGGGTTCAAGAAATTCTTCTGCTGCAGCCTCCTGAGTAGCTGGGACTATGGGCATGCACCACTGTGGCTGGCTAATTTCCGTATTTTAGGAGAGACAGGGTTTCACCATATTGGCCAGGCTGGTCTCTAACTCTTGACCTCATAATGTGTCCGTCCATGTCCCAAAGTGCTAAGATTACAGGCATGAGCCAATGTGACTAGTCTATACTTCTGGATTTTAAAACATATTAAAAGCTAAAATAACAAAAAACACTGTGATACTGACACAATGGTAGATAAACAGACAAAAGAGCAGAATAGAGCGCTCAGAAATGAAGCCTTGTGTATAAGATGAAATGATCTTCCACAAAGTTGCCAGGAGCATACAATAGAGATCTTCTCAAAAAATAATGATAAAATAAAATTGAATCGGCCGGGAGCGGTGGCTCAAGCCTGTAATCCCAGCACTTTGGGAGGCCGAGGCGGGTGGATCATGAGGTCAAGAGATCGAGACCATCCTGGTCAACATGGTGAAACCCCGTCTCTACTAAAAATACAAAAAATTAGCTGGGCATGGTGGCGCGTGCCTGTAATTCCAGCTACTCAGAAGGCTGAGGCAGGAGAATTGCCTGAACCCAGGAGGCGGAGGTTGTGGTGAGCCGAGATCGCGCCACTGCACTCCAGCCTGGGTAACAAGAGGGAAACTCCATCTCAAAAAAAAAAAAAAAAAAATCGAATCATTTCCTTGAACCATTTACAAAAAAATACTTTATTTGTGCATTAATTTATTTATTTTGAGAGACAGAGTCTTGCTCCGTCACCCAGGATGAAGTACAGTGGTGTGATCTCGGCTCACTGCCTCCTGGGTTTAAGTGATTCTCCTGACTCAGTTTCCCAAATAGCTCAGACAACAGGCCCAGGCCACCATGTCCAGCTTATTTTTCTATTTTCTAGTAGAGACCAGGTTTCACTATATGTTGGCCAGGGTGGTCTTGAACTTGTAATTTTGTGATCTGCCCACTTTGTCCTCCCAAAGTGCTGGGATTACAGGCATGAGCCATTGCACCCGGCCTATTTACTTTTCTGATACGCAGTCTCACTCACTCTGTCACCAAGGCTGGAGTGCAGTGGCACAATCTAATCGTACTGCAATTTCTGCCTCCTGGGTTCAAACAATTCTCCTGCCTCAGCCTCCCGAGTAGCTGGGACTACAGGCATGCACCACCACACTCAGTTAATTTTTGTACTTTGTAGAGACAGGGTTTCACCATGTTGGACAGGCTGATCTTGAACTACTGACAAGTCATCCACCTACCTCGTCCTCCCAAAGTGCTGGGTTGACAGGAATGAGCCACTGCACTTGGCCAAAAAGTATTTTAAATAAAATGCTTAGACATAAAAATAAAACAACAAAAACAAAAAAAAACTTCAGCCTCAAACTCCAAGGCTCAAGTAATCTTCCCCCCTCAATCTCACAAGTAGCCTGAACCACAGATGCACACCACCGTGCCTGGCTTTTTTTTTTTTTTTTTTTTGAGACGGAGTTTCGCTCTTGTTACCCAGGCTGGAGTGCAATGGCGCGATCTCGGCTTACCGCAACCTCCGCCTCCTGGGCTCAGGCAATTCTCCTGCCTCAGCCTCCTGAGTAGCTGGGATTACAGGCATGTGCCACCATGCCCAGCTAATTTTTTGTATCTTTAGTAGAGACGGGGTTTCACCATGTTGACCAGGATGGTCTCGATCTCTCGACCTCGTGATCCACCCGCCTCAGCCTCCCAAAGTGCTGGGATTACAGGCTTGAGCCACCGCACCCGGCTCGTGCCTGGCTTTTTTTTTTTTTTTTTTTGAGACGGAGTTTCGCTCTTGTTACCCAGGCTGGAGTGCAATGGCGCGATCTCGGCTCACCGCAACCTCCGCCTCCTGGGTTCAGGCAATTCTCCTGCCTCAGCCTCCTGGGCAGCTGGGACCACAGGCACACGCCACCATGCCCAGCTACTTTTTTCTATTTTTAGTAGAGACGGGGTTTCACCAAGCTGACCAGGATGGTCTCGATCTCTCGACCTTGTGATCCACCCGCCTCGGCCTCCCAAAGTGCTGGGATTACAGGCTTGAGCCACCGCGCCCGGCCGTGCCTGGCTTTTAAAAAAAAAAAAAAAACTGTAGGCGGGCGCAGTGGCTCAAGCCTGTAATCCCAGCACTTTGGGAGGCCGAGGCGGATGGATCACGAGGTCAAGAGATCGAGACCATCCTGGTCAACATGGTGAAACCCCATCTCTACTAAAATACTAAAAATTAGCTGGGCATGGTGGTGTGTGCCTGTAATCCCAGCTACTCAGGAGGCTGAGGCAGGAGAATTGCCTGAACCCAGGAGGCGGAGGTTGCAGTGAGCTGAGATGGCGCCATTGCACTCCCGCCTGGGTAACGAGAGAAATTCCATCTCAAAAAAAAAAAAAAAAAAAAAAAAAAAACCAAAACATTAGCTGGGTGTGGTGGCAGGTGCCTGTAATCTCAGCTACTTGGGGTGGCTAAGGCAAGAGAATTGCTTGAACCTGGGAGGCAGAGGTGGCAGTGAGCTGAGATTGTGCCATTGCATTCCAGCCAGGGCAACAAAAGCAAAATTCAGTTTCAAAAGAAAAAAAAAGTTTAACATAGAGTTTCTCAAAATCATGCAGATATTTCTGTGTCCCCGAAAACGACAGAAAAGCAGCCAGACTGTGCAATCTCATATGCCATGAAGAGGCCTTTGGTTCTGACGGTAAACTCGAAGGGAGATCACCAAAGAGAAAGTAAAATCCTTAAAGAATCTAAAAGCATAGACAGAAGATGCCCCTATGTGACAGCAAAATTTAAAAAAACTCAGTCTTCCCAGAAAATATTTGCTTTGGAACACAGCTTCCGAATCACATTTTCAGCATTGGCTTTCTTCTTGTTTGGAGATCTCATCCATGTTGTCTGTCGTATTCATTCTCACCTACCTGGGGGTTCATCCACCATCTCATGTCGCTTCATATTCCAGGGCTCTTTTCCTTGCTCCAGACAGGTGATTAGGTCTGGCTTAGAGACAGCAATACCTGCTTTATTAAAAATTAAAATGTAAAAAAAAAAATGAATATTTTTCATATTGTTCAGTTACCAAGCTGGTACTGTGCTTACTAAAGAAGATATAGAATATTCTAAAAAATTAACCCTAAAATACAAATTTATAACAGAAACTTCTAAGTATTTTGAAAATATTTTAAATTTGTAGGTTCTTAATTTCACTTAAACATTTGATTAATGAATACTAATCAAAGTGAATACCGGGTATTCATTAATCAAAAACTGGTGGTGGTAGATAGGTTTTAAGATATGGGCAGCCAAGATGACTCACGCCTGTGATCCCAACACTTTGGGAGGCCAAGGCAGGTGGATCACTTAAGGTCGTGGGTTCAAGACCAGCCTGGCCAGCATGGTGAAATCTCTTCTCTACTAAAAATACAAAAATTAGCTGGAAGTAATCACAGCTACTCAGAAGGCTGAGGCAGAGAAATTGCTTGAACCCAGGAGGCCGAGGTTGCAGTGAGCTGAGATTGCGCCGCTGCAGTCCAGCCTGGAAACAGAGCAAGACTTTGTATCCCCAAAAAAGGATATGGGAAACAATGTTTTATGCCACTAATCTAGAGTGAAGAATACAGTCAGCCCAGGAATGTGCAAAGTTTAAGTCAAGATAAAACATTTTGAAAAAATTTTTTTCTACATGGACAAATCCTTAGCATTTTCTTAAAAACAGGAATCAATCGGCCAGGCATGGTGGCTTACGCCTGTAATCCCAGCACTTTGGGAGGCCAAGGTGGGCGGATCACCAGGTCAGGAGATCAAGACCATCCTGGCTAACATGGTGAAACCCCGTCTCTAGAAAAAAAAGAAAAAGGCCAGGCCTGGCGGCTCAAGCCTGTAATCCCAGCACTTTGGGAGGCCAGGCGGGTGGATCACGAGGTCAAGAAATCGAGACCATCCTGGTCAATATGGTGAAACCCCGTCTCTACTAAAAATACAAAAATATTAGCTGGGCATGGTGGCGCGTCCCTGTAATCCCAGCTACTCAGGAGGCTGAGGCAGGAGAATTGCCTGAACCCAGGAGGCGGAGGTTGCAGTGAGCCGAGATGGCGCCATTGCACTCCAGCCTGGATAACAAGAGCGAAACTCTGTCTCAAAAAAAAAAAAGAAAAAAAAAACAGGAATCAGAAACTCATTTATGCAAAGCATAAATTATCAGAAATTATTCTGGCCGGGCGCGGTGGCTCAAGCCTGTAATCCCAGCACTTTGGAAGGCCGAGGAGGGTGGATCACAAGGTCAAGAGATCGAGACCATCCCGGTCAACATAGTGAAACCTCGTCTCTACTAAAAATACAAAAAATTAGCTGGGCATGGTGGCGCGTGCCTGTAATCCCAGTTACTCAGGAGGCTGAGGCAGGAGAATTGCCTGAACCCCGGAGGCGGAGGTTGTGGTGAGCTGAGATCGTGCCATTGCACTCCAGCCTGGGTAACAAGAGCGAAACTCCGTCTCAAAAAAAAAAAAAAAAAAAAAAAAATTATTCTACAAAAAAAGGGAAATGAAACCTTTAGGGTATATTAGGAATTCTATATTAAAGTTATTCTCACCCAAGAAGACCAGGTTTCTGTAGTTCTCTAACATCACTTTTCTATACAAATCCTGCTGAGCAGTGTCCAGGCACTGCCACTCCTCCAGAGAGAATTCGATGGCCACATCCCTAAATGTCAACGGCCCCTGAAAAACACAAGCACACAGGCATATATATTTACCAAGTAGCCATGGGCAGAATTTATTATTTGAATTAAAGTGAAATGAGAAAGTAAAGAGAATTGGTTCTGACTTACAGAAATCACTGAAATTATCCAACAATTTTTTTTTTTTTTTTAAGATGGGGTTTCACCATGGTGGTCAGGCTGGTCTTGAACTCCTGACCTCAGGTGATCCACCCGTCCTTGGCCTCCAAAGTGCTTGGATTATAGGTGTGAGCCACCATGCCCGGCCCCAATAATTTTTAACACAGAAATACTATCTAATGTTTTCTCTAACTCTGAGAGAAGAGGATGGCAAAAAAATCCACAACCCTGATGTATATATGATACTTGTATAAAATTAAGGGCATAAACAAAAATATGTACACTTGGCCGGGCATGGTGGCTTACGCCTGTAATCCAAGCACTTGGAGGCGAAGGCGGGCGGATCACCTGAGGTTGGGAGTTCAAGACCAGCCTAACCAACACGGTGAAACCCCATCGGGAAGAAAAAAAAAAAAAAAAAAAAAAAAAAGTACACTTTTGAGGGCTATATTTACATCATAAAGTTTGAGTTCTGTATATTTTTCAGGCAAAAAGAGACATGTTTAGTTAAAAGGTACCTCTCAGCTTTAAATGTGAACAAGAAACTGCGGATCCTGTTGTGTAGATTTCTTTGGTTCAGAAGATCCAGAATAAAGTCTGAATTTCTGAATTTCTAACAAGCTCACTAGTAATGCCAGTGGTTTTGGCCTAAGAAAACTACTTTGTCAAACATCCAGTAAATAGAAAAGCCTATGTTTTACCAATTTTTTTTCTGGCCTGTAAACAAAGATAAGAGCCTTCATTTTTCAAAGACAGATATATGCAGAGAAAATCTAAGAAAAAAGGGCAGGTGCCACATTAAATGTAATGGTTTATGCATGTCAGCTGCATAAAAATACTTAATAATGAAGAGAAAAATAATTAACTCTAGGCCGGGCGTGGTGGCTCACTCCTGTAATCCAAACACTTTGAAGGCCAAGGCAGGCAGATCACCTGAGGTTGGGAGTTCAAGACCAGCCCAACCAACATGGTGAAACCCTGTTTTTAAAAAAATAAACAAATAAAAATAAAAATTAAAATAATTAACTTTAGTGAAAAAAGATCTGTCAGAATGCTCTGCAACCAAGTAAATCACTAACATCAACCACACTAGAACAAATGTTTAGGATGTGCTGATGTACATAAAAACATGGCATCACTGCTGAGATGTTGCCCCTCAAAAAGTAAATGATAGTCTGAATTTAACCATAAGAAAAATCAGTTTTATGCAAAGTTGATGATATAGATATCTCCCATGTTCTGTTATTTTTAATAGTGATTTTAGGCAGTCTTTCTTTAGACCCTAGAGAGCATGTTCTCCTAATAATTTTTTTTTTCAGAACTTTCTGGGTAATAAATGCTATTCTATTTAAATAAGCATTTTCTTAATCCTGTTCGAAATACAGTTAATGGAGAAAACAGATGAAACCTCAACATTACATGTTCTCCATCTTTGCAAAAGACCCCAGCTTTCCCCAATAGGAATCTTGAATATCCACATCTTCCCATGTTCAACAGCCATAAACGGAACATTTTTTATATCGCGGATTATAAATTTATGGTAGGAATTCTGCATTGCATATAAGAAGCCATGATGTAGAGAAAGCTCTCGTACATAGGAAGAAAAATACTTTTTAGAGACCCTTGACTATCACATCAATTTTTAAAAGTACTTGAAATAAACTTATTGGGGAGGAGAAACACAAGCAGAGAAGTAAAGGTTTGTGAGTCCTAAATGCACGGCACTCCGTGCATTTAGGAGGCAGAGTGGACACAGCTCTTGATCTGAGACATGTTTAGCTGAAAAGAAGCCATTTTTTCTCCTCCTTCTCTGGAAATTCTTTTCAGATAAAATTCTCTGGACAAGTAACACCTGCATCTTTTTTTTTTTTTTTTTTTTTTTTTGAGACGGAGTTTCGCTCTTGTTGCCCAGGCTGGAGTGCAATGGCGCGATCTTGGCTCACTGCAACCTCCGCCTCCTGGGTTCAGGCAATTCTCCTGCCTCAGCCTCCTGAGTAGCTGGGATTACAGGCACGCGCCACCATGCCCAGCTAATTTTTGTATTTTTAGTAGAGACGGGGTTTCACCATGTTGACAAGGATGGTCTCGATCTCTCGACCTTGTGATCCACCCGCCTCAGCCTCCCAAACACCTGCATCTTGAGAAAACTCCCTTTAAGGAGTCAGCACCACCACTTAACTGCTAGTTCACACAAATTTATCTCCTTTAAAACAGAAGAGATTCAGGAATGACGAGCCGCTCCATGGAAATAAAAATATATGTTCCTCTTTTCCTGTCCGCAGGTACCCTCCCCTGCCACACACAGCAGCAATTTCTGCTACAGTAATGGAAATATGGGCCACGTTGCCCTGTCCCTACTAATGCAAAACAGAACAGGCCCTGTGACCATCCTTTATGCAAAGGTGGCACTTAATTCTCATGAATGTATTTTGAATTCATACTTGATTCTGGCCTCACCTTCGAGTCACATCAGGCACTTCATTAAAATAACATGGATGCTTCCACCCAGATCAATAAACAAAACCAGTGAAAAGGGCACAAGTAAAGAGGTATCTGCAAATTGACCATGGAATCTGAATGAGAAGACTGGCCTGATAAGCCCTGCCTCTCACGCTTTAATGAGCTTAAAAATTTCTTGGTAATGTTGGTCCCACTCTATGTAACATGAATCTGCAGGTTTGGAAAGGGTCCACAAATGAGTGTTTCAAACAAGTCCCCTGCCAGTGCTGATGTTGCTCCCCTGGGCTCATTATTAGCATTAATTAGAGAAAGCAGGCACAACACAGAGTCCCTTCCACTCAGCACTCCTGTCACAACACCAATCTCTATCCCAAAGTTTCTTTTTTATTTATTTTTGTTTTCTTTTTTAGAGACGAGGCTTTCACCAGATTGGCCAGGTTGGTCTGGAACTCCTGACTTTAGGAGATCCACCTTCCTCGGCCTCCCAAAGTGCTGGGATTACAGGCGTGAACCACTGTACCTGGCCTAAAGTTTCATATTCTTTGCTGGCTCTTTAAAGTTTACAGAGGAAACAGAAAGCAGCAAATTCTGAATAAGTCAGCATTTGAAAAACAACATGTACACATGTAATAATTCAATGTTTATTAAGCAGGTACTATGTGCTCAAGAGTATGTTACAGCGAACTGTGCTGGTTATAACACAGTATGTGATTTCATCCTCTTAACATCCTGGAGGTTGATAGTAAGTGTTCAATAATTCCCAATATTTAGATAAAGGGTTCAGCATTACTATTCTTTCATCTGTTTCTCTGTCTTTTTTTTTTTTTTTTTTGAGACAGAGTTTCACTTTTTGTTACCCAGGCTGGAGTGCAATGGCGCAATCTCAGCTCAACGCAACCTCCGCCTCCTGGATTCAGGCAATTCTCCTGCCTCAGCCTCCCGAGTAGCTGGGATTATAGGCACGCGCCACCATGCCCAGCTAATTTTTTGTATTTTTAGTAGAGACGGAGTTTCACCATGTTGACCAGGATGGTCTTGATCTTTTGACCTCGTGATCCACCTGCCTCGGCCTCCCAAAGTGCTGGGATTACAGGCTTGAGCCACCGCACCCAGCCAACAAAGGTTAATATCCAGCGTTCGTAAGGGAGTTAAGCAAGCTGAGAGGCGCTGATGGCTCACGTCTGTAATCCCAGTACTTTGGAAGGCTAAGGTGGGCGGGTCACCTGAGGTCAGGATTTCCAGACCAGCCTGGCCAACACAGTGAAATCTTGTCTCTGCTAAAAGTACAAAAATTAGCCGGGTGTGGTGGCGTGTACCTGTAATCCTAGCTACTTGGGAAGCTGAGACAGCAGAATCGCTTGAACCCAGGAGGCGGAGGCTGCTGTGAGCCGAGATGGTGCCACTGTGTTCCAGCCTGGGTAACAAAGACCAAAACTTTGTCTTGTGGGGGAAAAGTTTAAAAAAAAGTTAAGCAAATTTCCCAAAAGAAAAAAACTTCATTATCATCTGTAAAATGGTGATGATACAAGGGAAAAAAAAAAAAAAAAGAAAAAACTTCATTAAAAAGTAGGCAAACGGCCGGGCGCGGTGGCTCATGCCTGTAATTCCAGCACTTTGGGAGGCTGAGGCGGGTGGATCACGAGGTCAAGAGATCGAGACCATCCTGGCCAACATGGGGAAACCCCGTCTCTACTAAAAATACAAAAAGTTAAGGCCGGGTGCGGTGGCTCAAGCCTGTAATCCCAGCACTTTGGGAGGCCGAGGCGGGTGGATCACGAGGTCGAGAGATTGAGACCATCCTGGTCAACATGGTGAAACCCCATCTCTACTAAAAATACAAAAAATTAGCTGGGCGTGGTGGCGCGTGCCTGTAATCCCAGCTACTCAGGAGGCTGAGGCAGGAGAATTGCCTGAACCCAGGAGGTGGAGGTTGCGGTGAGCCGAGATCGCGCCACTGCACTCCAGCCTGGGTAACAAGAGTGAAACTCCGTCTCAAAAAAAAAAAAAAATACAAAAAGTTAGCTGGGCATGGTGGTACGTGCCTGTAATCCCAGCTACTCAGGAGCTGAGGCAGGAGAATTGCCTGAACCCAGGAGGCGGAGGTTGCGGTGAGCCGAGATGGCGCCATTGCACTCCAGCCTGGGTAACAAGAGTGAAACTCCGTCTCAAAAAAAAAAAAAAAAAAGTAGGCAAAAGAGGCCGGGCGTGGTGGCTCAAGCCTATAATAATTCCAGCACTTTGGGAGGCCGAGTCGGGTGGATCACGAGGTCAAGACATCGAGACCATCCTGGTCAACATGGTGAAACACCGTCTCTACTAAAAATACAAAAATTAGCTGGGCATAGTGGCATATGCCTGTAGTCCCAGCTACTCGGGAGGCTGAGGCAGGAGAATTGCTTGATCTCAGGAGGCGGAGGTTGC